TACGACACGCGCAAGATGGCGCCGCTGGAGCAGCTGCGCGCGCCGGCGCCGCTGGCCGCCATCGACGTGCACCCGCTGTGCGACCTGGTGGCCTGGTGAGTAGCGCCCCGGCGCCCGGCGGCCTGGCGACGAGCGCCCCGGCGCCCGGCGGTCGCTGACGGTTGGTTCGGTTGCAGCGGCTCCGTCAACCAGAGCATCAGCATCTACGACCTGAAGGGCACGCCGCTGAACACGATCAAGTTCCACGAGGGCTTCATGGGCGCGCGCATCGGGCCGGTGTCGTGCCTGGCCTTCCACCCGCTGCGCTGCGCGCTGGGCGTGGGCTCCAAGGACTCGACGGTGTCGGTGTACGTGGCGGAGGCGCGGCGGTGACCCTCGCTGTACAGCCTGGCGCTGCCCTTCCACTGACCGCAGGTAGTAGCATGCTCCGCTGTAGCATTCATGCCGTTTGTTACTGCCGTCCGTCTCAGATTATCACATTATCCACAAAATGTGTAGTTGCAGGATAAACTAAACTAACTGTATTTTAGTTTATTTTTGTAACATTGACCACCTGTACAATGTAACCTTTTTTTGAAGTCGGTAAATACATGTCATGAAAATTTAAATTTTACGGGCTACCGTGAAGTATCGACCTTAAACCATGCTTTTTGCAACACCGATTGATTAGTGTTTACGTTGATCAGTATTTCACAAATTGGGTGTATCTAAGAAAATTGTTTCATTTCATGTCATCTATAACATCCTAACCGGAACACGTATGCTTTTGTTCTGAAGGAAGCGAGGAGTCGTGTAGAGTGCGGGCGCCGGCGCAGTGCTCCGTGGCGTGTACATACTTACATATAGGCAGGAGGCGCGGGGTGCTGCAGCGCCTGGCCGTATTCACGAGTAAGCTGCTTATCAAAGTGCGCTACCATTGTATAGGTACTCTATACAGACTGCATTACATGTTGTTTTTGTTTCGTCATATTATTTGTCTTGTGATTTACAGAAAGTTCCTAAGACTCAATAATGACTAGCTGCCATTTTGTTAAATTAGGGTTTTGTTCACTACGTAATAAGTTTTAGAATTTGTTTGTGGTTTAGATTGTAATATTAAATGATAATATGGCCAAGTGTAATTGACTGTAACGTGACCCATAAATATATGCCGCCACGCAGGGAGAGGTGCCGGCCGGTAGCTATAGCGTGTAAGTGATATAATGAGCATTTACCTGATGTAATGATGAATATTTTGTAAATGATTAATGTTAATTTTCATTGAACAAAGATTGTTAATATTGGAAATAAGTAAAATCAGAATTCACTTACGAAATGTGTGGCCATAGAAAACTATAGTTATTATAAGCGATTGTCACCAGTTGTGATCAAACCTCAACATTGTCAATATGATGAACAAACACACAAGTTGCCAATCGGTTGTTGAATATATTATTGCATTTTGTCTACAAAGTGATCGATTATGCTTTTACATATTAACTATGTAATTTAAATGTACATTTTACATAATAATAATAATTGTTGTTGTTAAAATAAAATATGATTAAAATTTGAGTGTATAAATATTTTATCCTATATCAGAAGTCCTCCATCGCGACCGTCTTAAGCTTCACGCTTCGCCTCGCTCTAAGTCATTCCACCGCTGTCATTCCGCTGTATCTGGCAACTCTGTGCAATGCTAGGTTTGACGGGGTCGGCCACGTTTCCTTTTCCCCTGGGGATTCCATTCCAAGGCTTGCGTGGGTCTGTGGTCGGCCCCCTTCGAATCGTGTGACCAATCCGTCCCTACTAACGGGGTTATTGATATAGCGGAGAATAGGGCTCTCATCTCAGTTAGAGATGGCCTCGAGCCAGTAAACTCCGTGAATGCGACGTAAACAGCGATTACCGAAAATATGACGTCAGTGACCTTCCACGGTTCGCACTCATAGAGCACCACGGATTTGACATTGGATCCGAAGATTTTAAGTCTGGTCAGTTTCCGTGATTGCTAAACTGATTTCAACTGTGCGAAGGTAGCTCAAGCTTTGTTAACAGGTCATCCATTAATTACGTCACACGAATTTCATTATTTTTTGCCCCTCACCCCGTCCTTGCCACAGCTAGTCACATTTGTGAGGGACCCCCCACCTAGTGTGACGTCACATTTTGCAGTTTTATGGACGGCCCCTAATCTGAGGAGAAAAGTCCAGTTTACAGTCACAATCTCCAGTCTCAGATGATCCTGATGTAAATGTATTTGTGGGCGCGTATCTACTGCTGCCTCTGTACCAATCTGCAATAGTGTGTTGTTCGCCAGATCTCATCTCTTTCTTCTTTGGTCTTCTAGATGTTATTTTTGTAATGCTTATCTATCTATATACTTATAATAAATCTGTAGAGAGGTCAATTCTGTACATAAAATATATTTAAAAAATAACTATCAAGGGGTGGTTGGGGATCGCTACTGATGCCAAAAATGCAATCAGTAAAATTTTTGTTTGTCTGTCTGTCTGTATGTTCGTTATGGAAACAAAAACTACTCGACGGATTTTAACAAAATTTGGCACAATTATTCTTAATACTCTTGGGCAGGTTATAGTATACTTTTCATTACGCTACGATTAATAGGAGCAGAGCAGTGAAGGGAAATATTGGGAAAACGGGAGAAGTTACTTCATTTTTAAGCTTCCGTCGCGTGTACAGGCTTATAGGTTAAAGCATGCAGCAAAATCATGTATGACGGAAATATTCTCCTTAAAATTATATAAAAAATATTTCTCGACAGCATATGTCCATCTTTTATGGTTTACTCACAATAACACGTGAAACTCCCGATAGCTTAGCAATTCGGTAATTTCTGATTGTATTTGTCTACTCTAACGTTTACAACACTATCACTCATCCCTAATTTTAAAAAAAATAACATAACATACCTATTCAATAAAAAAAGAATTATGTAAATCGGTGTAGAAACACCAAAGTTATACATGAAATAATAAGTCATCGCGCGTGAATACAGAGTCATGCTATAAGGATTATTTTTGTCATTTATAAGGTTCATCATATTATAAGGTCCGCGCGCGAGCGTCATAATACCTAACAATGATGAAGGCACAACTAATGATAATTTCCGTGATCTTGCCATAAATCAGTGCTTATTAGCTCTTCAGGATGACATAACAGCAATAGGCGGTAAATCACTCTGTGAATATGGTTTGCCAAAACCAACCTCAGTCGGAGAGGTAACTAATAGGGAATATTCCGCAGAGATTGGTTACAATTTAATGGAACTGCTGACAACATTAGAAAACGGTGTCCCAATGATGACTGCAGAACAACGTTCAGTTTATGACCGCGTGTGCAATCGTGTTCAAAATAATCTGGGAACAATATGGTTTTTAGATGCACCTAGAGGAACTGGAAAAACCTTTTTGACTAAATTAATATTGGCTTATGTTCGAAATCAGCGTAAAATTGCTCTTGCCGTAACTTCATCTGGGATAGCTGCAACATTGCTACCAGGAGGTAAAACTGCTCACAGTATGTTTAAAATACCAATTGATATAGATCGCACGGAAAGACCAACCTGTAGTATTTCAAGAAATAGCGACAAAGCTAAGGTATTACGCGATTGTAGTTTAATCATATGGGATGAATGTTCGATTGCCCATCGAAAAGGAGTAGAAGCGGTAGACAGAACTTTAAGGGATATAATACAAAATGATCGACCAATGGGCGGTATCACGGTTTTATTTTGTGGTGATTTCCGACAAATTTTACCGGTAATACCACGGGGAACCCGAGCTGATGTTAGGGCTTGCCTGAAAAGCTCTTATTTATGGCGTGATATACAATCGGAGCATTTGACTATAAATATGCGAGTAAGAACTGGATATAACCCGGATGATAGTCAATTTTCTGACACATTATTAAAGATTGGTGAAGGTACCTATCCACAACTACACCAAGGAAAACTTATTCTGACGCCTGAATTATGTTGTATAGTGCAATCTCAACCACATCTTATATCTTCGGTTTACGGTGACGTAACAAATATATTAAATAGAGACAATTCTTGGCTATGCGAAAGATCTATTTTAACTCCTCGCAATAAAGATCTATTTTAACTCCTCGCAATGACCAGGCATCTGAGATCAATAACATAATACTGTCGAATACACAGGGGGAAAGCAAAGTTTATAGATTAATAAATAGAATGGTCGATGAACAAGAGTCGTCGAGTACCGTCATTGTAGACACAATTATAGAACAATAGGTTGCGGTCACCGGTGACCGCTTGGTGTTTGACAGTAATACCAAATAATTTTTCCATTCCAATTTAAAAGGACGCAATTCCCAGTAACGGTGTGTTATGCAATGACAATTAACAAGGCTCAAGGGCAGACTTTTCGTGTTGCTGGAGTAGATCTCAGTGTCAGTTGTTTCTCGCATGGTCAGTTGTATGTTGCTCTTTCCCATGTTAGCAGTTCTAAAAATCTTTATGTTCACGTGCCGGACGGATCAACTTTCTATATAGTTTACCCGGAAGCTTTGCATTGAAGTGTTTTCGTACTATAGGTACCTTTACCTCACCTTTATAAGGCAGTGGTACTTATATTGCCACCAGAATTTGAACCTTAACACATTATAATAAATTTTAAAACCAATAAATATTTTTAAGTTCTGTGTCTTATAAAGGGTTAAGCCTCATGTGAACGTGATCTAAACAATATTACCAATATAAATAATAATAATAAATATTACCTATTGGTAAACTAACATTAACTTAATACACAAGGAGTTACACGCTGACGGAGTCTCTAGATACAAGCCAAGCCACTGGAATGTTTAAAGGTAGACCTTGATTATTGAGATTAAAGAATTTCACCATACTTGTGTGTAGTGTGGGTGCATAAACAGATGCAAAGTCCACTCAGCCAAGTTTACCATATAATACAGAGCCGCAGAGGACTTGAATGTGTTGCCAGGACTCCGGCTCAATGGGCAAGAGTAGGAATGGGGTGGATTTAGTAAGAGTCTGACACTCCCTTCCCAGAAAATACCTACGTTTATATGTGTATGATTTTAAAGAATAAAAAAGCAGCCATTTGCAGCTGCTTTGAATATAGTACCTAGGTAAAGGTACCTAACAATAAAGGTGTTCAGTCACACATAAGATTAAATTGATTGAAACAACAAATAATTTGAGTCCTTTTAATGAGTTACAAAACTTTTAGTTACCATTCTACTAACAATAATGTCAGTTAATTCTGCATTTTTCTCCAAAGTATTCAATTTATACTGGTTATTTAGATTCTTCATGGAGGTGAACTTTTTTAAATCACTTATAGATGTACATTCACCTTCAATTTGCGATAAAATCTCTGTGCTGGTATCTAAACTTTCAGTAACCAAAAAGCATAATAACAAATTGGTGTCTTTTTCTATACCAAATCGGGTCAAACTTTGTGTGATGTTTTTTGTAATTGATAAATTATACAATATCTCAGAAAAAACAGTTCTTGTAACCATTGTATTATGTTTCTCAGACAAAACAGCCTTGTTTGCTGCTACTGCTACTTGGAATGGGTCAATGATTAGTTCTGGTTTGATTGCTGAACATTTCCAAACTCCCTGTATGATATTATTTCTTATCACTTCTGCATTACGTACATTTTCGAATAAATAAATCTTTAAGGTTGTTTTTGTGTCCGGATCTAATTCAACAATGTATGGCTCTGGAGTCATAGCTTATGTGAGTCTTGTTGTTAGGTTTTAAATTCATAAACACTTCTTTGATTTTTCGATTAAAGAGTTTCCATTAATTAAAACATTTCTAATAGAGACAGGTAACAAATATAATTTCTCGCATAATTCTCGAGATCGTATCGTAAACAACTAAACACGTGTCACGTCATACATATGTCATGCCAAATCTATTTAATAATCTGTCATCGTGTGATCTGTCTCTGTCATGAATGTTTATGAGTGTAATTTTTTTTTTCCTCTGGCAACCGAGTCTCCGAAACGAAGTTGTCGACTATACTGCCATTGTCGAGTGTTGACAGCGGTAGTTTTTAGTTGTTAGTAACTGAAAGGACAAAACAATTGGGTTAGTAAACATACATATAAATATTATCAACTATTTCACTGTATGTATACAGAGGTGTATAAAATAGTTGCGTGGACATATACAATACGGATAAACGAATGTGTATATATTTACATTATTGAACACCGTCATGTTTTTATCTCATTTTCATTTACAAATTTGCATAGACAATGGATAAGTCTATTAGTGGAAACTAATTGGAAGAGGGATTTGGATATTGGGGAGTTTCTTATAGAGGTTAAAAGATTGGGAATTTAAAGGACAGGAAAATAATATATGATCTAAAGTTCCCTCATCAAGGCCGCATTCGCACAGCGAGCTGTCGCGGACACAGATCTTATTGAGGAAGACTGGACTACTACAATGGTCGAGTCTGAGTCTGCACAAGGATGAAATCGTGTGACGAGGGAGCTTAAGGTACTTAGAAAACCAAGGTTTCCGTCGGATGCCGGGCTGGACACTTGCATAGAAGGCTCCTTTAACTTTAGAAGTGTCTACCCACACTGCAGCCCATGAGTCAAAGAGCTTGTGTTTGGTGTCGGCACGTATATCATACCCATACACAACGTAGTGTTGACGTTCGACATCGTTCGACGCCGCAAATTTGGCTAGGGAATCCGCACACTCGTTACCGCATATGCCAGAGTGGCCAGGAATCCAAGCGATCTCGATGTTAAGGCCATCGTTGTAGCAGGAAAGTGTTGCCAACTTTATTATCGACAGGATCTGAGAACAGAAAAAAATGTACGTACCTATATAACAATTTGTCTTTTAACGCATTGGCTGCCGTGTCGGACAATGTTGTCCGACGCTAGCGGAGGATTAGCCTTTAACAGTTTTTGTCGGCAGTTAAAGGCTTAATTAATAGCAATACTCGATGAAAGCATATTGAAAATGTTATCATCTGCTGCTGTGATCGACTTTATTTTGCGAATTGAATTGAAAAAATTGGAAACGAACTGACCGTTTTAAAAACAATTGACATTTCCATAGAAGCACGGACGTTGAAAAGTATTGGGAAAAGGCGGGCATACAGTCACTTAGAAATTATTGTGACAACTTCACCTTTTTATCTCGGTTAGTGTTCAAAAGTACCTTATACAGGGAATCCCTAGAAGTATGGATCAAATCGAATAGGGGCGTAGAGGAAGTCGTACCCTAAGTTTTGGGGGTTCGTAATGGTTCAAAAATTATGGCCAGTTTTCAGTTTTTTCAGTGATTTCCTAATATGCTTAAAGAATCGTTCACAATAGATCATTCCTATAATTTAACTCGTCGAGTACCGGTTTTGTAGACACAATTATAGAACAATAGGTTGCGGTCACCGGTGACCGCTTGGTGTTTGACAGTTTAATAAAGATCCAATAATTATTTGTTTAATTTATTAAGTTTTCGGCTTACTCACGTAATAATTTGACGAGGTACACGACTAGTTTTAAGCCATGCTAGAGGCTCATATTCATGAGCAGCAATTCGCGACCCGCGACGCGGTGACTGTCGCGCTGCTACTGGCTACTCTACTACTTTTTAATAGTATAGTAAACAAAAGTTGTCTAGTCATTAGCAAACTAGATATATTTCTGATTACTATCCATAGATTTGATACAGAAAGTTTGACGTTTCCACCCGCCGTCGTAACACATGACGCTGGCAGAATAATCAACTACTTTATAGTGGAGACTCAATTGTCACTAAAGAAAAAAAAAGAAAAAAGTTTGACGTTGACAGAGTTTGAACAAGTTGTATAAAATGTAAATATTTGTTTGTAGCATGATTACATTGAACACACAGAGCATGTAATTATAAGAGGCGGATCTTAGTACATTCAATTTTTTGAGAGTTCGTAACGGCGCTTAGCCAACCACACAATGCTACCAACATTACCAATGACAGTGACAACCATGACCTTGAAAAGAGTAACTGTCACGAATAAGGATGGGCAACGT